CTCTCTCTCTCTCTCTCTCTCTCTCTCTCTCTCTCTCTCTCTCTCTCGCATTCTCTCTCTCGCATTCTCTCTCTCTCTCCCTCCCTCTCCCCCCCCCCTTCCCCCCCCCCCCCCTCTCTCTACCTCCCTTGGCTGAGCACCAGATGTGAGAAGGAGGAGACAAGACAGCACAAAAGTCATTCTGGGATAAACTTCCTGGTCTTGATTCCCGGGTCAGTGATTCTGAGGATGTCTGACTTGTGAGCTGATTTCAAAGAATAGTGCCAGAAATGGAAAGACAACCCATTTGAGCTTTCCATCCTTAACGTGAAGCCGGCGCCACACCCTAGCGCCTGGTCATGTCTTGGCTTCACAGTGAAGAATCTGGATTAAATGGAATTTTATTTAGTGTACAAATAAAAATGACGTCATGAGTTTGCCTGGAAGTGGATACAACTGGAAATCCTCATGTTAAGTGAAAGAAACCAGCCTCAGAAAGACAAATGCATTTGTTCTCCTGCAGATCTTAGATTTTAAATGTGTGTGTGTGTGTGTGTGTGTGTGATATGAAACTAGAAAGGAGACTGTGATGGCAAGAAGACATCTAAAGGGTTAGAACAGGAAGAGGAGAGAAGGTGATAAATGCCGGTGACAGGAGGACTGCAGAGAGATGTTGGGGGAGGGGTAGCAAGAGGGGTAAGAGGTCTTTTTTGAGATGAGACGGTGTTTGAGACTCCCCTAGGGATGAATTCCGTGTCCGAGGAGAGGAGAGGAATGAATTAGGAGAAATATGTATGAAAATGCGAAAATGAACTCCATTATCTCCAGTACTAACACAAACAGAAACCAAGTAACAATAACTAACCACACTGAAACTGCTCTTTGTCTCCTGTGCTTGGGGTCCTGGTGGCTTAGGAAATATGTAGTACATGAAGATGGAACCACCAGGTACCAAGCCACTTTATCTCCAGAACTATAAGGAACATGATTTTACTTTTATATTTGTAAAATGGAGCTCAGAATGGAGAAGAATTGTTTTTTGTTTTTTTTTTTTTTGTTGTTTTTAATGATCAGTTCAAGGCTGAAGAGATGGCTCCGTGGGGTAAGAGCTTGCTACACAAGTATCAGGACCCAAATGTGAATCCACAGAAGCCTTGTAGGAATCACTATAGTCACAGGCATCTGTAATTCCATTAGTACTATGACAAGGTAGAAGGCAGAGAGATAGGGGAATTGCCCTAGAATCAAGTGGGGGTAATGTTCCATCAAACTAATGTGTAAGCCTCCCATGTCACTGGCCCACTTAGATTACTCCTCACTACTTAGAAACCGTCAAAACACATTTAGTTCTACATTACTATTTAAAATGATGTGTTTTGGATCTATGCCTTGGTCCATAGATAATGGCATCATTTGGTTAAAAGCCATGGCCATTGTGGTAGATACCTCTAGCTGAAGAAGCATTTTCTGAAAGCCTCTCCACCCCTAATTCTGAATCCCACCAGCTCCCGAGTGATGACATCAGATCCCTGCAGACAGGTGTCACAATGCTGGTATACTCAAATGTCTTCTCTTTTGAGAAATGACTATACTGTGTATTTATCATTGGCTTGGGAAAGGTTTCCTCGACCCTTGGGTTTTAATTTGCTTTTCAATATCTGTGACTGTGTGATACTTGTTTATTAGGTTTGGGCAGTTTGCAATGATTCTAACCGCTAGTCCATTCAGACTGCATTAGCGTTTACCTTTTGGAACATGTGAAGGTCAAATTTGCCTTGTGAATTTCCATTCCTGGGCTATGATCCTGACTGCTGCTCTGGTCGGTGAGGTATAAGCACAGATTGGGATTCATGCCACACAGAGCATAAGCCTTCTTCCCCTTCTTTCTCCTTCCCTGAGCGTTTGATTGGTGTCAGGGTCTATGGGGGAGAATATTGACTTATCCGTTAGGGTTTCAAGTGTCAACCCCGTGTTTCAGTTGGACCTTTTACATTGTTCCTTCTGCTTCTGTTTCAGAGCTTGCCTGTGAACACAGAGGTAGCTTTTGTCTCACCTCCCCTAACCTTCCTCTTCCTCCTTCCCTCTCCCTCTCCTCTTCCCCCTCCCTCTCTCCTCCCTCTCCCCCACCCCCCACCCCCACACCTTGAGCATTGAGATAAAACTGCATTCTGTCTTAAGAGCAGTCTTAATAAGTAAATATGGCTTTCATGAGCTCTTTGGGTTTGGAGCAGTGCCAGGTAAGGTTTCCTGTTAAAATTAGCAGCACTTTCAAATTTACTAGCGACTTAGAGTCTATGGAATGTCCTCCTGGGACCCCATGTGATTTTTACACAGGCCACAACCCTGGTGGCCTCTGCTCTTGCTGCATTCGGCTGAGCACCTAGTGGAAAGTAGAAAGTTTCACATGAGTCACTGCTTTGATCTTGCTGAGGACTCAGTAGGGTGTATTAGGGAAGGAAGGAAGTTATTTCTGTTATTTCATAGTCAAACTGAATGCTCCCCCAAACAACTGACATTCTCTGAGTTACTGTTCAGTCTTTTGCTGGGACAGAAAGAGCTTAGCCCTGTGACCTCCCCTCTGCCCCAAGCATACCTACTTAGGTCTGACTTATACTGAAGGACAGTTGCCATTGCTTGAAGACAGCTTTGATAATCTCATTGTTAGATTGTACTTGGTAGGAAGTAACAGCCAAATCCTGCCTAACACCTTTTGAAATGGACAAGTCAGCCCTCCACCTAGAAAAATCAGCTGGCCCCACGTGTCAGTTGTAACAATGTTGAGAAGCCCACTGTTCCATAAAGTGTCAACTCTGTTTTGAGCGTTAGTTGGGGGAAGAGACAACAAGTTGATGTCTGTGTGAGGGTCTAACTTTTCTAGAAACTGATGAGATCTCAGTGTTCCTCAGATGCCTGTGTTTGTAGTTCTTTCGTCTTGTTTGTCTGTACTTTGCTGTGTTGAATCCTGTCTTATCTGTCTGTCTTTTCTGTCTGAGTTCTGGTTATATTTACATAACTCCAGATCCGTGTCTACCAGACTCTTGGCACATTTCACAAATTAAAAAGTTGAGAGGGAGAACATCTTGTCAGCCTACAATGGAAGACATTTGACCTTTCTTTCTTTTGAGGTTAACCAGATTTATCCTCCACAGTATTGTTTTGTGAGCTCTTTAGAGAAACAGAACCAACAATATAAGACTGTAAGACAGGGTTTATTAGATTGGTTTATGCATTCTTCGAACCCTCTGGCTGGTGAGCTGCAGTAAATGAGTAAATATTCAGTCTAAGACTCTGGAAGCCTCATTATGAGAGAGAGAGAGAGAGAGAGAGAGAGAGGGA